TTTAATGAGATGTCCTAATAGTTTTTTCAGGTCTTGAGTCCCAGGATCTGCATTCCTCCACAACAGCCAGTGAAACAGAATAATAAAATGTGAAAAACAGGCCAGCCCTGCACTCAGGGAATCTGATAAAACATCTCTATTATTGAACAGAACTCTGCAAATGTCTCCCAGTGGTTATGGCCCACCATTTCAAGACGCAAGTGGAAAGTTATGTAGTAAATAATTACACATATTGGACAATTTTCCAAACATACATTACCTTTTTGTGGTCAGCGGTGGTTTTTTAAATGCATCATTACAAATATTTCAAGTTCCATTACCAATAAATGTCCATGAGAACCAAGGATTTGTAACTCAACTTGTTAGTCACAGCTAATGACCTTTGAGATTATGAAAAGAAATAAATGTATTGTACAAAAAATACTGATTATGAATCATCCAAAGGATTTAATGTGTATCACTGTGGTTTGGTAAGATGCTTCAGAGTGCTGGATTCACACTGGGGAAATGCTTGGTTCAAAGCCCAGTCAACCACAAAGTTTGCTGCATTCAGTAGACACAGTGTGGAGTAGTGGTTAGAGTTGTGGGCTAGGTCTTGGAAAATTCAGGTTCTAGTCCCTGACTTGGCCATGAAGCTTACTAGGTGTCTCTAATCCATCACTCTATCACAGTCTAGCCTACCTCTCTGTGTTGTTGCAAGAAAAAACAGAGAAGAGTCTTGCATTAGCCACATTAGGTTTCCTATAAGGGGAAAATGGTGGAATATAAATCTAATAAAAATACATTTATTATCTTCTAGCCTAGGCTAGCTGATGAGGGTGTTTTGAGGATACAAGAGGGCCACGAGTCCTAGTCTGAGCTCCTTGGAGAAAGATGGGATAAAAATAGCATTAGCAATGACCATATGTTAATTCTGAGAGGCAGTGTGGTGCAGTGGTTAAGAGCATGGGACAGGAACTAAGACAACATCAGTATTAGTTGTCCTCACTTTGCAAAGAAGCTAACTGGGTAACTTTGGGCCAATCACAGACCAACCTCATAGGGTTGCTGTTGTGGGGATGAGATTGAGAGCAAGAGGAGGAGAATGATGTAAGCCACTTTGAGTTAATTAAAAAAGAAAAAAGTAAGATATAAGCCTAATAAATAAACAAATATGGAGAATATGCTTCTAAAATGAGCCAGTTCATATCTATATCCAAACAGAAAAGTCTCACATTGCGCTTGCAAGAGGAATAGCATGTATAGGTTTGACAAACTGCATGCAAGAGGGAATTCTCAAGTTGAAGACCGACCCCGAGATAACCTCTTTGATGCCCATAAGATTCCAAATTGGCATAGAGATGCCATACAGAAGAGAATGTTCTAGCTGGCTTGTATCTCCATTCATCTCATCAATGGAGTGGTGAGAGCTGCCATTCTTGGTCTTCCTGAAATGGTCATTTTACTTCTGTGCAAGCTTGCAATTTTTTTAAAAAAATGCATTTGGAGTTCAGTACGTTTTGTCCACATTTTCAAAGTGTACGCACAGATGTATGCCTTTTTAAAAGCACACATTTTCCCCTTTACATTGGGGAAATGCTATTTCATGTTTGCTTTTCCCTGCTATGTGAATGTGGGGTATGCATTATTCCTTAAACGAGGTGTGTTGGAAAGCAGCAGTGCTGGTTCTGGAATGCTGTTCTGTTTCACTGGAAATCTTGGGAAGTATGTCATTGCACAGGAGTTGGATCCAGTCTCCCGTGCAAGGATGGGACCTTAAGCAAGAGGGGAACCTCTGTCCAATTTGGGGGGCTTCCCTTCCTCCCACACACCACACTTTCTCCTATTCAGCTGCTTCTCCTAACTATGAGAGGACTTGTGCTGCTGAGTGGGCTAGAAATAAGTAAGTAATGTTTTTATGAGCATTTTTATGAGGTGGAAAAGGATACTGTGGAAAGAGACCAGGGAAGTCCAGTACCACCAAGCCCATAAATCTGCATCCAACCCTAAATCTCTGCAAAATTCCCCAGTGGAGCTCAATGCTCTCCTGTTTGGAATCATGGAACACCCAGAAGAAGTGGCGGAGACACTGAGACTGGGAAAACACATGGTTTGCTGGCTGGATATTTCTCCTGGTGTTTGCAAGGGTTGTTGATGTTGGCTGGGACACCCTCTGCTTCCATAGATACCTCCTGGTGCTTGAAGGTATGGATGGAAATGCTAGAAAATTCTTTCTCACTTCCCAGCCAGCAGCTCCAATCCACCTGAGTGACCACCACTGATCTTGAACACATTAATAAGATCGACACACAAAGCCACCATTGCTACTTGGGTAGGAGAGAGCCTAGTATTTTACTAAACCCTCCACCTCCACGGGGTATTTGTAGCCCATTTATTAAGATCCAGCCTTGCACTGTTTCTGATAGTATTTATTTGGTTTGTGAAGTTATCTGCACCAACTGAAATGGGTTTAGCTGTTCCCTGTGAAGATTTATAGGTTTTTAAGAGTAGCAAACATCACTGCAATCATTTAGTCTAATTTCATGGAAAATTCAGAGAAATTGATTTAATGCGGTAATCCTGACATCAAAAGCAAGATGTACTGTTAGTACATCTGATGAAACCTGGGCTGCTTGCTAAACGTATAAAAGCACAATGACAAAAGAGACCTCAGGCATAAGTCAGAGACATCTTTATACTCTCTGCCAAAAGCTAAAATTGCACTCCTGTACAGTAAAGCTAAATTCTGAATTATGCAAATATTATTTGATTATCTGATCCAATAAAATCAAATGTGATTTATGATACAGAATCCATCCAGCATTTTCAGAAGTGGCAATGGCTTATTTAGGAAGTCTGTGGTGGCTGGAATAAGAAGAAAAAGAAGGGGTGGTGGAGTAGATTGCAATCTCTGCAAGTGAGCTAGGAATAAACACAATGTGTACAATGCTGCAGACCTTGCTATCCAGTCACAATTTTCACCAGGATGTTTGGTTGGTATGCAGGATAGGAACACAGGGACAGAAGAAGTTGTCTTATACTGAATTTGAACCCTGGGCCATCTAGTTCCATACTACTGACACTGGCTGGCAGTGGCTCTTTAGCTTTTCAGTTAGATTCTTTCCTACAGCATTGCCATTTTGGAGTATTTTAAACTATGCACAGAAGATATATTTGCCTTCATCTTTCTCATCTGAGATACTGAGAGATCTTACAGCCAAGAAAGTACATCTTGGTTTCAGAGTAAGTTGGGATATAAAGGTTGTCCAAGAGGCTAATGAGTCTCTCTGTTCACATCCCTGGCAAGAAAGATGTCCAGCAGCTAAGGATTATCCATTTTCCACTGCTGAAAAGGCAGTTCTGCTGGAAAGTTACATTTTGTTTTTCCTAAGTCCCTATGGCTTCACATTAGCTGTACATATTTCCTTATAAAAGTAATTGTAACAAAGGTCAACTGGAGGTATCCCACAATACTGCATGGTTCAAGTTTTATGCATTTTAGTCCTGCAGAGAAAGCAATGTCATAAATCCTTGCTTGCAGAATTGCCTTCGCATTAAAGATAACGTTAACTCATACGAATACTCCATGGGTGGGCAAACTGTGACCCTCCAAGTGTCATCATCCAAGCATTAGCCATGCTGGCTGAAGCTGATGGGAGTTGGGGGCTATGGGGCTACATACTCCTGGCTGTACAACAGCTAGTTTTCCTGGACTCCAACTGTCCTCAGATCCAGATTCCCCAAGAGCTTTGCGAGACAGAGTTCTAGCAGGGGCTAGTCCATCAGTGGTTCCTCAGTCCTTCTGAGCTGCTTGAACTGTACAAGGACACACTGCTCCCTATCAAGCACCAGGTAGGGGACGGCTCCAGATAAAGGCTACCTTTGGTAGAGCAGTGCTTTGCTGCTCATTGGCTTCCCTGTCTGAAGAGAGACGTCATATAGCCAGGCCAGGAACTAGATGATGTCAGGGGGGTCTTGACATTAACCAGCCTGCAGAGGGCTTGACAGTGGAAGGGTCATCCAGCCTCCCACCTTAAAGTTCCCTTCCCCACATTGCCATTTATTGGAATCGCCTTAATCACTGCCATTGATTAAAAAGTGGAAGTTTCCATTTTAGTAATGGAAACGGAGTGATGGAGTTTCCATTAGCATCTGGGAAACTCCTTTCTCTTGAGGAGTGTCTATCCCAAAATATATATTGCTGAAAGGAGTTCAACCCCATATGGGACCTCCAACTTCCACAAAGTGCTCTACTCCCTTTCCCCTTCAAAAATGATTTTTTAAAAAGTTGATATTTTTAACGTAGCTATATTCCCCTCCCTCTCAAGCCTTCACCCTTGTTCTTTTTCTTCCCCCAGGGTTCCCATTAGCTTCATGAATGCATGAGAGTTTGAACCTGTATCAGTCCATTCAAACCAGTATGCCCCCCTCTCAATCCCACCCCAACTACCAGATCCATCCAGTCAGTAGAAAACGCTTGTTTCTTACAACAAATCAAAAGTCTTCAGTCTCATCAAGACAGTGAGTTTCTACACAAGCAATGCTCTATGGCAGTCCTGCTAAGGCAATCTGCCTTCTGTCTCCTCATCTATTAGAAATGACCTGTGAACATCTTGTTCCAGTCCATGAGTTATAAACCCCAAAGGCATTTTCATCTCTCTTTGACATCAGAGGCAAATCAAACTGGACCTGGAAAAGAGCAGCTGTTCCCACTATTGTTCTTTGGGTTTTTGTCTCTTTGCCCTCAGCTTTTCACTTCAGCCCAGAAAGCAATAGCATTCCTGAAAGATGTTATTAAAGTCAACAGTGATGCATTGTAGTTCATGGTTTCCTCTTAAATTCTTTGTTAGTAAAAGGATGACCACCTTGCTTTGATCTGCAGTGTTTGAAATGAAATACAAATGGACAATTAATTTTTCTTTGCTCTAAGGCAATGGTGCCTTAAAACCATCCCCAGAACATCTGCAGCACTTCCATGACAGAATCTTTATTTTACCCAAACAAGTGGTCGTACTACTTACCACTAGGGAGTAATAAATCTTGAAGCCGGGTTTAGCCACTAAGTAATCATCCGATTTGAAGGTTATCTTCAGCTGATTTGTTTTTGATGTTACCCTCGGAGGAATTTCCTTGTTTCCACACCATCGTCCTCGGATAAGCGTGCTGATTTCAGATATATCTTCCACTTCCACAAAGTCATATCTAGAGTCAGAGGTGACAGATTTAACAAGCAGGTTGACCAGGTTTGTTCTCCATGCGAGAGCCAAGATGGAAGTGATCTGTAAACTTTTGCCTTGAATTAGGGGGAAAGGTGGTGGGGCACAGCTTCTTCTCAGATCTTGGGGGAGGGGTGGAGATATCAGTCAAGATGAAGAGGAATCATGTTCAGATAGCCAGAAACATGTCTTGGGTGTGGAGAGCTCCTCCCAGTGGCCACCAGCTTGTGGCTGCCATCTCTCCCTCGACACCCCTCACAGAACAATAATATGTGAAGCTGCAGTGCAGCCCTTTCCAACCTGGTGGCCTGCAGGGGTGTTGGATACAACTCCCATCATAGCCAGCCATCAAGGTTGTTATAATCTGGAAAGCACCAAGCTGGGGAAGCTTGATGTAATATCACTCTGGTAGGGGCCTGTGGGTACAAGAAGTGTTAGAATGCTAATTATTACATAAAAGCCTACAAAACAAGGGTGCTGCAGCTTTCCCTGTGGTTTGTGGCATAAGTGCACATGGCAAAGTCTTCTCAGTGGTGGCATGTTGACGATGGAACATCCTCCCAGTGGTGATTCAGCTGACCCCTCTTTCTTATCATCGCTTCCACTTGCTTGCTTGACAGGCCTGAAGCCAGAGAGCATGTAGGCAGCGGTAATTCCTCCTCCTCCTCCTCCTCCTCACCATCACTGGTGCCTGGGCCAGAGTGAGAGACAGGTGGGCAGCAAGCTGCAGTGGTGAAGAGCAAGAGCCCAGCTGGGGCATTCTTGCCCACAGAGGGGTGGTTCTTTGGCAGATGCCCAGCTATGGCTATTCTTGATGGCAGTCCTATTCCTGTCCACCAAAAAAATAAATGAAGTCTTGAAGTCTCTGTCAGTTTAGGCCATGAACGAAGAGGAGGCCATCTATCTGAATGGCTACTTACAGCTGCTTCACTCACAAAGTGACCAGTGTTTGAACAATGAAAGTGGGTCCTACCAGTCTGTTAAGTCCTAACTGTGTCCGTCAGCTTCATATTAGCCCACATTGGTTTTGACCTCATTTATAGCAGCTTTCTCCAACTTGGTACATTCTCAGAGGCATTGAACTGAAACACCCATAATCCCAGTGGCCATGCTATGTGGGAAATATGGGAATTTTTCCCATACACCTGGGAAAACCTGGAAAGTAACAGGTTTGGGAAGGCTGAATTATAATAGCTCTGATCTTTTCTGGGTAACTATGGATAGCCTCCTGTAACGTTCTCAGCATCTGAATGTGCTAATTCAAACTACCAAGCAAAAACCGCACTCCAGCCTTTCTCAGCGTGGCACCCTCCAGCTGTGTAGTACATCTGGCTAGAGATGATGAGAGTTGTAGTCCTAGAACTCTGAAGGATGGCGGGTTGGGGATATCGGAGTTGCACAGTCATAAAGATAGTGAACTGATTGCAAATGAAATTCTGTCTGCCTTAATTTTACATGAAAGCATTCCATTTCCTTTCCCCCATCTACCCAGTCTGAGTACTGGTACTGCAGGGGTTATCAGTGGGGAAACGATGGCCACAGAGCAGAACAATCTGTTACTCCAAAGTTTTAGAAAGTTCTTAAATGTTTGCATAGTAACACAGAGACCTGTCTTTGATGAAGTGTCATGTGAAGTACAGCCATGCTTGGATCTCTCCTTGGCAAGACACTCTCAAATCCCCAAAAGGACTTTGAGGGTTATTTATTATGGCTAAAATTCATCCATATGCTTTGAATACTTTGCTGAAGCAAAATAGCCATAAAGCAGCCAGTGCAGCTAGGAATATGGCTCCTTTGTGTACTTAAATGAGTCCAAATGGTGTCCTTATTCAAAATAAACATTAGAAAGAACAAACCCTGCACAGAGGCAAGTGTTCTAGCCACACAACAGACTGCTCCTCACCAACTCCTTCCTATTCCTCACACCACTGGATGCTGTGCAGATTTTTCTGAAGATCAGACACCATGCCCAACCACATGCCTCGGCAGGGACAACATCAAACAACTTAAATTAACTTAAATCTGCAGCTAGGGGCTTCTGTTTGGGTCCGCAAAGCTCACTTAGAATGTGTGTACCTAACACATGTTCAGTACAGGAGAGAGGCAGAGGAAGAAGCCCTCTGCGTCTGCCACAGCTGGACTCCCACTGCCCACAGGACCATCTGCCATCCACGGCCCCATGAAAAGAATTCCTGGAGAAAGAGGCCATGGCTCAGTTGGTAGAGCAGCTGCTTGGCACGCAAGATGGCATCCCAGTCATCTCCACCCAGAACTGGGGAACGCATGGAGGAATCCCCAGGAAACTGCTGCCGGTCAGTGTGGACAGTACAAGGCTGGATGGACCAGTGCCAACTCAGGCAATTTCCTATGTCTGTTTGTGTGTGTGTGTGTGTGTGTGTGCGCGTGAGGAGAGAGAGATGATGGGGTCAGGCAAAGAAGACCCCAGAGTCTGAGAAAGCACACAGGGACACCCGCCATTAACTTCTTCAGGAAAGAATCCAGAAGAGAGGAAGGCAGAGGTGGGCAACATCAGATGTTGGCTGCTCTTCCAGCTGGGATCTGCATGGCCCAGGGCCACCTTGGACCAACTGCCCTGAATGGAGAATCTCAACAAATTCCTAAAAGAATTTTTTTTGGTTAATAACACTTATTGTTGGCTTCACTAATCTGATTTCACTCTGTAAGCCACAAATGAATAGTAAATACATTGCAGTTGAATTGCACGAGTTCTGCAAATGTGTTAAGCAGGTGGTTGGGCCAAGGGGATTATTTATGTACTAGATTTTTATCTTACCCCATTAGCCATAAGGCTGCCTGGGAGGGTCAATTTTGAGGGTGCAGTTCTCTTTAGATGGAAGCCTTCAATCTTGGAAGTGCCCAAGTATCCAGTGCCATGCTGAGCTGCTGCAGGAAGAGCAATGGAGGTATTTTTTCTGAGCCCATCCAGAGTAGTCGCACAGGTAGGACTGGAGGTATCATAAGAATCTCATCCTGGCCCGTCTGCTCCTTTCCCATATCTCCTTGCAGACCTCTCTTAGGCCTTTCAGGGCCACCCTTGTAGCTTTGGACAACTGCCGTATGTTTCCTCCCCTCCAGTGTGGCTGCAGGGAGGCAGGATCAGATGCCTGAGTCACCCTTCCCAGGTTGTAGCAGTGTTTACAGTCCGAAAGAGGGGCCGCTGAAGAATCCTACGATCCCTAGAAAATGCTCCTGGACCATAGGACTGCGCTCTTATTTTTGCATGGGTGTGTGGCTGCACAATACATATCTATGGGTTGACCCCTTTCCATCTTAGCATCTCTTTACTCCCCTGTTGCCCAGTGCTTCACTTACCTGCATATCTCATTTTCTGCTTCCTCCAATCCAAACTGATGATCAAACACCAACTGTATCCTTGCATTCTCTGGCGAAAGCAGCCTCCATGTCAGTAAGAGGTTCCTGGGGTAGCTGTGTGGGAAGCGAGGGCTGTGGATGTAGCCATTCTGCCAGACATTGATGGTCTCTTCTTTGCGGTACAGGGCTGTGAGGTGATTGCTCTCTGTTAGTAATCACAACTTGTAGAAATTAGTATGTGGGTCAGAACAGGAGGGCAATTAAAATGCTAAGGAAGAGCAATTTTACAATAGATGGGGCATGTTCTACATTGATAGGATTTTGAGGAGAACTTTCTGAAAAACGGGGCCCACAAGGACCTTTTCTCGGCCTGGGCACAGGGCTGCAGTGCAACTGGGGCTCACAGGATCAGAGCAGTGGACCTTTCTGATCGGCAGGGCTGATGGCCTCTCCTGCCACCTTCCTCAGGCTGCCGTGTTCCTTCTGAGCTGATACAGTGAGCTATCAGGTGAGTATTTTGGGATGACTTGGTTTTGAACAGGTGAGCAAGGCCCATCAACTTTTCCAAAGACCGGCCACAGATACGCATAGCACAGTGAGAGGTGGGTAAAGGCAAGCAAGCACCACTGAGACTTTCCTTGAGCATGTGGCAATGAGGGGTATCAGGATAAGATGCTGCAGATATACTTGCAGATGGGGTGCAGATGGGATGCTTCTTGGGATCAGCCTATTCGTGATATCACAGTGCTGCATAACTTAGCATGCCTGAATGCCTCCATACACATTGGCACGCTTATTCTGGATCGTGCTTGTTCCCAGCGGGGCCATCACTGCTGGATTTCAGCTCCCTCCTTCATGCAAGCTGCAGCACGTTACCTAGTATCATGTTTAGTACTTACAGAAGAGCCAAGCCAATTCTTTCCACACTGCCCAGTATGCCCGGTATGCATTGCTCAAAAGGCAGGCCTGGAGAAAGCAGGCCTCTGGGGCTGAGTTTCTGTGTTTTCCCCAGGACCTGTGCTGACAAAGCACATCCTTTGCCATTTAGGCATTGCTCTTCTCCATACTTCAGCATTCTTGTCTTCCAAGAAGGGAAGTGTATGAGAAATTAATTTTGGTTCATTTTTTTATCATGATTTGCCCAGTTAAAGCCTTCTAACCTGAAGAGGGCCTTGAACACAAACTGTGTTCAAATCCATGCATTTCTAAGCTTACAACATGTTTGCAAAGCTCTGTAACGCTTGGCAGCATGTGTACATTTGAAAAATACCCATTCAAAATGTGTATTTTGAAAAATGTACAGAAATAATGTTTGAAAAATCCACTGGAGAAGAATGTGTGTGTTTCAAAGACATGCACAATTAATGAGTACATTTAAAAAAATATGGAAGAATTGCATGAAGTTCCACATTAAAAGACCTCACATTTTGATTTGAAGATGAGATGGAATTGATGTAGTCTTTGGAGAGCTCTGATGAACTCAAGGTTTGGTTGTATGCATATTCCTACTCCCATCTGCCTTTGGGTAGCTCACAAGCAGAGCAAGTTATGGATAGGCAGGCCCCTCCTTTTTTGCCTCCTCCAAGGTCCTCAACACAATTTCTAGAACCTTTAAGGTGTTAAGGAGCTCTTTGTTGCTATGTTTCCTAAGAGTCACCCAAGTTGTGAATCACAGTCACTTTGGACCAAAGCAACAGGCATATGATTCAATTGACATCTGGCTGCTAAGTAACTTCCCATCATTGTTCTCAGAGCAATTAGGAACAAACGGAGACTCATATTGTTTTTAATTTTTCCCTCTCACGTATACCAGCTGAAGAATACGTGTGTGGCTCAAGGGCTTGCAGTAAAAAAACAAACCTCAGACAGGGATGGTATTGCCTGCATAAATTCCATACTTTCCTTCTCTGGGACACATCCCATTGACAAACAGGCATGATCTGGCATACAGTTCCTGTTTGTAACCAATCAACACCCTGGCTGTAACATTTAGAGCTCTTGAGGCTATGAACCGCCACAGACGCCCATCTCTAAATCACTGCTTCTCCCAAATGGGTGGGGATTCGGGGCACTCCTGAAAGGGTGTGTATACATTTTGAAAGGATCAGGGTGGGAACTGAAACAATTCAAATAATTTCAATGATGGGGGTATTTAGGGGTGTTCACTGTGGCATTAGCAGTATTATTTATTAATTTATTTAATTTAAAGCTTTTATACACCAACCCATTACTAGCATCTTGGGATGGTTTACGACACGCATAGATTAAAAAATGGCACAGCATCCAGCAAATCACAATAAAATCACAATTAAAACCAATTAAACATTAAAATAACAGGGGAATAAAAAGATCTCCTCTCCCTCTCCCTCTCCCTCTCCCTCTCCCTCCCTTCAAAAACCCCACTGCGTGTGATTAGTGTCCTGTTAAGGTGATAGGAGGTGGTTGGAGCTTTGCCCCAGTCCATGCTTTCACAAGTAGAATTTTGTTCAAGGAGCATGGGAGACAGCACTAGCAAAGCAAATTCCCTTAAGCACTCTTTTACCCCATCCTCTAAACAATCTCGATTATCGTGCGCACACAGGCCTACGCACTACACAGAACACAAACACGCACAAAGAATAAAATGTCAGAATGACTCTTCCCTACTTTCAGCACCTGCTCATTGGGTCAGTCTATTTGTGATGTCACAAAGGTGCTTATGTGGGTATGGCTGATTGCCTCCATACAAGTTGGAATGCTTTTTCTGGACTGTGCCCATTCCCAGTGGGGCCAACACCACCAGACTTCATGGCAATTAAAATATTTTTTTCTTAGAACATCATACACTTAAGGCACAGTTGAAAAACTGAGATGTATCTTTCCCAACAGCCCTGATTAATCTTATCAATTGCAAGCTTCAATGATGGATATCATTCGCTAAAGAAAAACAATAACCCTGTTTCTCAGTCAATAATTTCATCGCCCTAGATAAGAGAAGAGAAATTACTTGAGGCGATCATGCAGACTCTCTCAAATGGTATCTCCAGCTAAAAGCAACTTTGATTTTAACAGATAATAGTACATTAAATGCTATTCATAAACCTCTTAGCTAGAAAATCTAGAAACCTCTGGGCATAGGATAACCCAAGAGGTGACAGAATGCTCATACCAAATACAATATGAAGCTACAGCAGAAGTTATAAATGCAACTCCACACACCACAGAGTTCTCTGGCTCTATCTGTAACTCTCACATCAGTCATCATAAAGACCACAGAAATCATGTTCTTTCCTTTTTTTTACCCTTGCCTCTATTTCCCTCTGCTTCTTCTGTTGTCTCCCCAGGATCGAATTATAGATTGTAAACTCCACCATGGGATCTTTCCTCTTTTGCTTGGTAAAGCTCTGTCCACAGTGATGGTACCAGGTAAGCAATCTACCTGGTCCCTACAGTCATCTTCAGAGGCCCTTCTCAGGTTGCCCCTTCCAAAGGGAATATTATCTGTGGTAAAGGGACACAGGGTATTTTTACTGGTAGTATCCCGGTTGTGGAATGCCTTTTCCAGATAGGTTCACTGGGTGTCTAAGGTATGTTCCTTCCAGCATCCATGGATATTCTTTTTGTTTTCCTAGGTTTAATCTTAAGATCTTCCCACACTTTTAGATCTCCTTCTCAATCCTTTCCTGTTGGTTCAGTTATTCATTTTAATTTTATACTGTGTACTGTGATTGGTTTATTTTGCCTTGTTTTATAGCTGAGGTTAATTGATGTGTTTAGGTTCTGAATTTTTCATTGCTAATAAACAAACCAACACAACCATAACAATAAGAAAAAGGTTGAACTGGACATCCTTGGTATGTTCATTCCCATTTGTACCCTACTTCTCTAATACTTATATGCTGGGAGGGTTTGCATGACAAAACAAGTCATGATGGATTCTCACATAGGGTGGTCAGTTGTGTCATCTGAACCCTATCATGGCATTTCATGGTATGGAGTTAAAAATCATGATAAGAAACAACCACCTGCTTCACCATGGTTTCTTTGGTCATCCAAACCTAGCATCATGGTTTTTACAGTTCTGGTATGCAGCTATCACAGAATCCCCTGGAAAGAAAGCAGCCACTCTAGCCATCTAGCATGGAATTGAATTTCAGGCGATGTGGTTCATGGGATACATGGAAAAGAAGGAGGACTGAGTGAGGAGGGTGGAAACCACACCAGTGTAGAAACCACTTAATCATCTCTCAGGTATATCCAGGCAAAAATAGGTTCCATAGAAACCCTAACAGGGTTGCATGTTGTGATGTGTGAACCCAGCCATTATGAAAACAACTCTACCTTCTGAACTGTGAGTTACTGTTTGTTTGTCCCTAAATTACCACTGCACAGGGCAAACAAGACAAAATGAAATGCTAATCAGGGTCACCATAAGCAAGTAGTTCTACTTTTTTTGACAGGAGAGTAGGAACTCATGAGAATATATCCTTGATCCATCCAGGCTTTTGTAGCATGAATCTTTAGCTCCAAATAAAGGGAATTTAAGATCAAAATGTAGAGATCTTGTTTGAATCTGCCTAGAAGTACAAATGTTACTATCTCATTTCTTCCCTCAGGCTGTTTTCTGCTAGGTAGGTAGATGTGGGTATTTACATCCATCGAGGTCTGCATAAAAATGCAATTATGTCAGTAGTCCATCAACACTCCCTCTAGAAATTCTCTGAAGCTGCTCAGATAAAAATTACAGTGAAATAATAAATCTTCATCTGCAAGTCAAAACCATTCACAGCTGACAAAGACTCAGGAGAGACTCCCGTTATCCCATCCCCACTCATGGAAAGGAAAAGTGTACTCTGGGGCCACACTGGCTAGCCCCACCACCAGCTTCTGAGGTACGGCACGGTCAAGTCATTCCCCACCATCCGTGCGTTTGGCCAGTGCATGAAGGGGCTGCATGCACGCACATCAGTACAGGGGTGCAGAACCCAAACCTCACGGGCCAAATCTATCCTTCAAGAGGTCCCAAGACTGCCCTTGAGGGTTTCCCAGAATGGAGTGCTGATGGGGACCGTGCAGCCAGTTCAAGCCCCCTAAGCCTTGTATCGCATTGTACAGTTCAGGGATAGACGTGTGGGAAGCTGTGCAGCAGACACCAAGCGAAGCAGCCTCCTCCTCCGTGTGCTGTCCAGGAGTGTTCCTTTTTTCCTTGTTACACACGTTTTGGCT